CAAGCAGAATTTGCCAAACAACAGGCCGAGGTCATGGCCCAACAGGTAGAGTTAATTACCAGGCTACAGTAGCAAGCCGGAGCATCTGCTTCACACCAGGTTCCTCTCCCACCAAGAGTTCCCATACTTGGGGAGACAATACACGTCCAGGATGATACGAACGTTCCAACAGGGCCGGCTCTGCCGCCGATCCTACCCCAACTATCCAAGGCGCCCATGCCTATCAATCTACCAGACTCCCCCTTTGAGTTCGAGGTGGACCCCACGGCATTAAAAGTGAGCAAGCTTGAAAAGCTGTTCAAGAAATCCCAAGGTGTGAAGTCCATTCCGGACATTGAGGATGGGTATACCGATACGGCCATAACCTTGCCGGACCGATTCAAAATGCCACATATCGACCACTTTAATGGGTCTAGAGACCCAATGGTGCACCTCCACCTGTTTTCTGATGTCTTGAGGCCAATGGGTTTGACCACGGCCCAAAAGCTATCACTATTCGGCCGAACCTTGTCTGGGATAGCCGCAATCTGGTATGCAAAATTAGAGAACTCTGCGAAACAAAACTGGGAAGAGATGGCTGAGGCCTTCGTTGCTCAATACTCCTACAACACACAGATCGAGGTTACAACTCGTGATCTTGAAGTCACTTGCCAAGAGCCAAAGAAGGGTTTTTCAGAGTTTGTGACGAGATGGAGAGCACAGGCCTCGATGATGACTACAAGGCCTTCCGACAAAGACCAAAAAAGGATGGTTGTGCGCAACCTCTAACCCAGACTAATGCAAATGATGATCGTCATACCTCTTCCTACCTTTGCGGACCTACACGAGATTGGGGTGCAGATTGAGGATGCTATGAAGCAGGGCCTTATTGACCAGGAGAATGAGCAACCCAGGAGGGCGTTTACACGCAGTTCGAATGCGACCACCAGTGGTGACATAGCTGGAAGATCTTATGAAGTTGGAATGACCACCATCACTCCAAAAACAGCCACCCCCTTTGTTGGCACATCCAATCCAAACCTCTGAACTTCGGACTATCTACCCCGAGGCAAGAGGGTTTTCACCCCACTTTATATGCCTTTGTCTAAAGCTCTAGGGGTCCTACTCAAGAAAGGACATCTGAAACCGTTAGAACAACGGCCTCTGCCCGATCTTCTCCCTCCAAAGCATGACTCGGCTAAGTACTGTGCTTTCCATCAACAAACCGGTCATGACACTGACAGTTGCGTCCGTCTTCGCCATGAGATACAAAATTTGATTGACAACAAGGTCATTATCGCACCGGGTCTTGCAAAGTCTATCGGCACTTGATCCGTAAACTCTTGGAGGATAATGTAACCATGTGATCGGGGGATGAACCACCTGCTGATGGCACCCAGTTTACTCTGGATGTGGCGTTTGGCACGCACTGTTTTGAGTAATGTACAAATGTTGTTAATTTTGCTTTCTGACTTGGGTATTGGGTTAGTCGTGTTGTGTTGTATAAAGTTAGTCTTTTGTGCTGAGTCAGTCGGGTCTGTCTTGTTGTATCGAGTCAGTCTTGTTTTGTTAGAGTCGGGTGATTTCGGGGGTGTTACCTCGGACATCACTTGCTTATTTTGTGTTTGTCTTTTCGTTTTCTTTTGAGTCTGTTTCTGCCTTGGAGCCAGTAATGCCAACAGATTTGAATGAACAACAGTGATTTTCACACTCTTGTGTTTGCTTCTGCCTTGTGCTAGTTGTGCCAGAAGTTCTGAATAAGATGGCAGCATTTGACTAAAAACTGTGTCCTTTTTGTGCTTTGAAATCATTACATTAACCTGAGTTTTTCAAAACTTTTTGAACATTGTGATGAAAACAAAGAGGAAGGAATTCCTCGGGATTTGCAAAATTGTTTTTGATCAATTGAGAGAAAGAGAGACATGCTAAGCCCTTAATGATTAAGACCATGTTTGTTAATGTCAGTACTGAGAAGGATCCTGGCTTAATCCAGATTGGTTCTGCATTGTCTTCGACGCGAGTGATTAGTCGTTTTCTTAAAAGATTTCAAAAAAAAAAAAAATATTTTGCGTGGTTCTACGAAGACCCGTGTGGAATCGCTCTTGAGATTGTGCAGCTTAGGATCACTCTCAGCCTCGAGACTCAACCCCTTTGCTTCCAAACCTTGAACCTTAATTCAGAATGTTCAACGGTCAACCACAATGTAAGGCCCGTGTGGCCAGATCAGAAGTGGCCCATGAACTAGGGGCGAGAATATCAGATGTGATCAAAGGAAGCTTGCCAAGCTAGATCAAAAGCAGCCCTTGAACTAGGGGCAAAAATGTCAAATGCGCTCGAAGAGCCGAAGATGAGTCTTTTCTACAAACCAGGGAAGACTGGCAAGAATGCCAAATCCCAGAAGGGAAGAAAGAAGAAAGTATTGCTAAAGGATAACCGAGTTTCTATCCACAACACTAGGGACAAATTCAGCTCCCCATTGGATGGACTCTTGCATCGTCAGCGAACAGCAGCTATTCTCCTGTATCCAGATGACTTCAGGATCTCAAAACCATTTGACATGGACAAAGCTACACTTTTACCCTTGATGGGCTCGCTGGGCTGAAAACCCGGAATGGTGACCCAGGCAAAAGTTAGAGCAAGAAAAAGAACAAAAAGAACAAAAAAAAGAAATATTCAAAGAATGAAAAAAAAAGAAAAGAAGAAAAATGAAGAAAATGAAAAGAAAAGATGAAAAAGAAAAAAGAAGAAAAGAAATGAAAAGAATTGAAATGAAAAGAAGAACAAAGCTCACAAGGTTGAAAACCCAGAAAGGGTGGCCTTGGCAAAAGTTAGAACGCAAAAGGAGAGGTTAATACCCGAGTGTACCTTACCCGAACTACGTAAGGCTTGATTCCCATGTTTGGGATACGTAGGCAATTTCGTTCTGAAGACCAGCCATAAACACTTCAAATTCGATTGTGGGGCAATTTTTTCTTTGAATTTCTTCCATTCTCTTTGAATCTGGTAGCAAACTCTTTCGAGTGGGGCAATTTTTACTTAAGTGTCTACTTTTACTTTCATTTCTTTTTTGGTTTACTTTTACTTGATAGATCTAAGATTTGAACATAACCTAAATGTGTTGCTATGTCAAGTATAGTTGATGCTGTGAGGCTGAGTCTGCCTGGGCTTCTCTTCCGTTTATTTTTGAGTACTATTTCAGCACATATTTCAGCAACATATCAACATAAATTTCAGCAACATATCAGCACAAATTTGAGCACCATTTCAACCAAATTTCAGCAACATATCAGCACAAATTTGAGCACCATTTCAGCACATATTTCAGTAACATATCAGCACAAATTTCACAAACATATCAGCACAAATTTCAACACTATTTCAACCAAATTTCAGCAACATATCAGCACATATTTCAGCACATATTTGAGCACCATTTCAGCACGTATTTCATCAACATATCAACACAAATTTCAGCAACATATCAGCACAAATTTCAGTACCATTTTAACCAAATTTCGGCAACATATCAGTACAAATTTGAGCACCATTTCAGCACATATTTCAGCAACATATCAGCACAAATTTCACAAACATATCAGCACAAATTCCAGCACTATTTCAACCAAATTTCAGCAACATATCAGCACAAATTTGAGCACCATTTCAATCATATTTCTGCAACATATCAACACAAATTTGAGCACCATTTCAGCACATATTTCAGCAACATATCAGCACAAATTTCACAAACATATCAGCACAAATTTCAGCACTATTTCAACCAAATTTCAGTAACATATCAGCACAAATTTGAGCACCATTTCAACCAAATTTGAGCAACATATCAGCACAAATTTGAGCACCATTTCAACACATATTTCAGCAACATATCAGCACAAATTTCACAAACATATTAGCACAAATTTCAGCACTATTTCAACCAAATTTTAGCAACATATCAGCACAAATTTGAGCACCATTTCAGCACACATTTCAGCAACATATTAGCACAACTTTCACAAACATATCAGCACAAATTTCAGCACTATTTCAACCAAATTTTAGCAACATATCAGAACAAATTTCACAAATATATCAGCACAAATTTCAGCACCATTTCAACCAAATTTCAACAACATATCAACACAAATTTCAGCACCATTTCAGCACATATTTCAGCAACATATCAACAACCACATAAAAAAAGTTTACAAATTTCAACTTTCAAATTTTAGCACAATCTGCCAAGTCTTCAATATTACATATCCAACAAAAAAGTTTACAAATTTCACAAATTTCTACATTCACATGAAAAGTGTTCAATATTACATATCCAACAAAAAAAATTCAACGCTACGATATTGATGTGTGATCCACATTCCTATGCCCTTGGCCACGCCCATGCCCATATAGTACCTAAAAAAGAAAACAAACATATAAAAGGAATCATAAAATAAAATGGAACTTTAAATGAATGAATGGCAAAATAAAAGAGGAAAGGTGAAAAATAAATTACTTGACTATATGCAGGACTATTCGAGGCTTGCGAGTCATAACCGCTTGCATTGTTAAGCAAGGCTTGATAGCTTCCATGGACGGAATACATCGATGGCATTGAAAAAAGCATATTGTGATGAAGAAAACTTGGCTGCAACAATAACAAACACATATCAATTTAAAATGGTACAAAATATTTGCAAATAAACATAATAAAACTTCTTATTAAACTAACTTACATCATAGGCGGGATACATAAATTGAGAAGACGAAGCATTAACTTGAGGAACACACGTCGAAAATGGAGGAAGTTGAGGAGCACTTATTGAAAATAAAGGAGCTGATTGATGAATACTCGGCAAAAACAAGGGAGATGGTTCAGGAGCACTCGCCGAAAATAAGGGAGGAGGTTGAGGAGCGACAGACATGGGAGTTTGAGAAGCATTATGTGAACTAGTTTTATTTTTCTTTGCCAACGCAAGCTCTAAACTACCTTTTGTCCGCCTTCGTCCCTTGCTAGTGCACTATCTTCGTTTAAGTCCTTTTGCTTGAACTACATTTGTATCCGGTACACCATCCACTTCAAAGCTTTCGGGGCATGTGTCGGGAGGGCTTTCTTGTTCAATAGTATCTGAAAAAGGCATATTGAATTTTGCGCTTAACATGCTTTCAATGTTTGCAATTAAGTCATCCGCTTTCTCTACTGTCAAGTTATATGTTTCCTCACTTTCGGAAGCTCTACACGCTACTGCTCTGAAAATTGCCATCAATGATCTAAAGCGTGAAGTTTGATGCAATCTTACATCAACCTTAATATCATGCCCACACCTATCTTTCACATTTTCAGCTCTTGCTTTTTTAGTCCATCTCTTGAGAATATATTCGGAAGGAATCTCTTTGAATTTTAGGGTTTCTCTAAGGATCTTCAAACAATGACTACACAAAATGCCTTTCATTTCAAACTTCCTACAATTGCAAGTGAGTGAACCATCACACTCCACTATCACCTTCCTCACCTTTACACCATCACTATCAAGAACCGTATAAATGGTACTCTCACCACAAATTTCAGTTTTTTCAATGTTTACTTCAAGGGACTTGACATACTCATCTTGAAATTCTTCATAAATTTTATTTGTGTAAACATCTGCAACTTGCTCTATAATCTTTACTTTAATATTCACCCTTGGCAACTTTTGGCCTAGAGCATATTCGGCTTGTAACTCTTTGTACCTCTTCTCACAAAGAACTCGATCAAAATGCATGAAAAATTGCATTAAGTTATGATCAGACTGAATGAAGTCCTTCAAGTATGCATTAAAGGATTCACTAAGTTGGGTGCTACTCATACCCGCACCCCATGCATTTTTAACATATGGCCAACCTCATTTTTCCTTGACCCCAAATGTTAACTTCAACCAATGATTATCTCGTACTTCATACTTGTCAAGTATTTCCTCTCATTTTAACATAAAATCATCCTCATCCTCAATGTCATACATAAATTTGGATAAAACACTCTTCATCCCCTTATCCTTCACCTCCTTATCCTTGAAGATAGAATTTGCATGCCTTAATGTATTTTGTATCAAATGCCAAGTGCAAAGGCGGTGTTTTGTGTTAAGCATGACAATAGGTATGGCCTTAGCCATTGCAGCATCCTGATTCGTAAAAATTGTTTTCGGAGCCTTATTTGACATTGCCTTCAAGAATCTTCTAAAAAGCCATATAAAAGAATCAATAGTCTCATCATACATCAAAGCTGCGCCAAATGTAATAGTTTTCCTATGATGGTTAAATCCAACGAAAGACGCAAATGGTCTATGTGCACTATTTAACTTGTAAGTAGTGTCGAAAGTCACAACATCACCAACTTGTCCATAATCCATGATCATCTAAGTATCGGCCCAAAATATGTTTGTAATCTGCTCCTCACTATCTAATTGGATCGAGTAAAAAAAAGATGGATTCTCCAATGTCTTCTCACGAAAATATTGCAAAATGCTACCTGCCTTCCCATATGCTAAACTCTTTTGCCTCTTCGTTCTCAAATAATTTTTTTGGTCCACTTTTGTGAACCCAAGCGACTCCCTTCCACCAGCTTCCTTACCCATGAGCTCAAATGCAGCATTAAGCCGGATTCTAGATTTTTCGGCGAAATCTATTTCGGTTGCCTGTGATGCAAATATCTTCCTTTGGGATGGTAACATATGCGTACATTCTGTTGGTATAAAAATATGATTATGTTGTTCAACAAACTCACCAACAAAAAATTTATGAATATTCCTATCCCACTTAATGATAAGTCGGGCTTGACAACCAGTCCTCACTTCTTGCCTAGGATTTTTTGCTGATGAATCTCGCTTGTCGACACCCCGAAACCCCTTCTTATTACAAACAAATAGCCTTGAAGTGATTTTCCCCTCCTTGTTCTTGTTTACACAACCCCTTCTAATACTAAAGCCCAGCCTTCCTGTATAAGCATTATAGAAATTATATGCTTCTTGTTCTGTTTCAAATGTCATGTGAACTCTAGGCTTCCAATCACAATCACCCCTGTCATTCTCAGCATTGTTAGGTTCCATATCAATGTGCCAAGTCACTTAAAAAAAAAAAAAGAGTGCTCAATATTAGCATAAAAACTGTAAATTATGTTTGCAAAATAATACAAACTAAATAAAAACACTACAAGAATTGAATCATATTAGATTATATAAACAAAGGGGAACAAATCCCTTCAATAGTAAATTATGTTTTCAATGATCCAGATTTAACACAAATTCCTTAATTTTCTTATAATTAACATGTGAACATACAAAATCAAAATTAAACAACAAAATCAAACAAAATAAAGGGATGAATGAAATGTAAGATACTTCTATTTATATACATACTTCTATTTATATACATTATTTAATAACGAAGTATCTTTGACTGCACCAAATGTTTAAAAAACAAACATCACTTATCAGCTAAAGTGATAACCATAACAATAAACCATGATGATAATGGATGACACATTCAAGGAAAACTTACACCTTTGTGTGATTCAGCTCATAAAGGGAAGCAAAAATTTCAGACCAACAGAATTTTCAAAATTTGTTATCTACAGTCCTAAATCTCATCCCACAATATAATGAAAGAGTCGAAAAAATTCTGGAGATTATAAAGTACATAAAAATAAAATAAAGTGCAGAGATTGGGGGATTATATATGTATAGATTTGCACAATGTTAAAAATACATCATCAAGAACAGAAATATATATGTTAAAAATACATCATTAGATTTGTATAGATTTGTACAACCATTTACAGAATTTGTATTCAAAATGGATGGATAGCAAAAATTTCAAACCAATAGAATTCTCAAAATTTGTTATCTACAGTCCTAAATCTCATCCCACAATATAATGAAAGAGTCAAAAAAATTCTGGGGATTATAAAGTACATAAAAATAAAGTAAAGTGCAGAGATTGGGGAATTATATATGTATAGATTTGTACAATGTTAAAAATACATCATCAAGAACAGAAATATATATGTTAATGAAATATATATGTTAAAAATACATCATCAGATTTGTATAGATTTATACAACCATTTACAGAATTTGTATTCAAAAGGGATGAATGAAATGTTCCCACACCTCAACGATGGCGGCGACGACTGGACGGCGGCAACGGCTAGACGACACTCCCGTGCTCTCTTCTCTCCCTGTCTTCTTCTCTCTTTCTCGTACTCTCGCCACACAGCTCTGCTATATTGGAGGGAATAATTTGCATTTTGAATGAAAGCAATTTTTTATTTTTTATTTTTTTGAAATTACTAACCAAAACGACGTTGTTTTGGTTAGTTACATTTTGAGCCGTTGGATCACCCCACTTCAGGGGGGAAACTTCAGAGGATCCTGATACCTCTCTGTTGATGCTGCTCTTGATTTTATTTATTTATTTATTATTACCTTACTGAGCCTCTAATCTTATAACCTACTTGACATTTATTATTGTATTATATTTTACAAATACAACTTAAATACAATCTAAATACAATATATATAAATATAAATATCTTATATAAAATTTATATAAATAATTTCTTTTCTTATATATATAAAAATATATAAATATAAATATTCGAATTAATTATATATAATAAATTAACACATTAAATTAATTGAATACCACATTAAATTCTCATGTAGTCACGCAATTAATAAAACCAAAAATAAAATAAAGTAATAATAATAAATAATGACTTACGAAAATTAGGGTCACTACACATAATAGATTTTTTCCTTTGAAACTGTAACATTTTATAGTTTCAAAACTTACTTTTCAGTTTGATCATATTAGAAATTATTTGCTTGAACCCTACAAAAAGAGAAAAATAACATATGTTTTTTTTCCATTGTTGTTGTTTTTTGTATTTACATTATTTTTCTTTTAGTTTATTAATATTTAGCACATTTTGCTTTTTTTTTTTTGCTCTAATTTCTCCATTTATTCTTCTTTTTTTTTTCCCGACAATATTCTGGACATTCTAGTGAGTCTCCAATGATATTCTTAACGTCCAGCGAACGTTCTAGACATTCAGGTGACTTCCATTGACTTTCATAACACTCCGGTGAACTTTCTGCGATACTCCAGCAACTTCCCGTTGATGTTGAACATTTCGGTAAGTCTCCGGTGACCATCTGACGGAAGTCCGACGGTAGTGAGATGTAACAGCGTTTGTAAATTAAAAAAAAAAGGAAGAAGGATTTTTTGGTAATAATTAAAAATATATAGGAATAATTAGTGTAAGTATTTTATTTTTGGGATTAGATGAGTTTCGAACTTTATATATGGGACTTATACGTTGCCCAAAAATAGTGCTAGACCAACAGATTCTTGGTGTTATGACATGGGTACAGAATGTTGAGCCCAAAATTTCCTCTTGGGCTTTATTGCAACCAGTATCCATCAGGAATGAAAGCCACACGTGTTTTGGATTATGCACCCAAAAGCAAGCCGTTGTTTGGGCCCAAAGCACATAGCATAGCCCATTTAGGGTGTGTTTGTTTTGAAGGATTAGGGTATGGGATTGGATTATTAGTCTTACCGGACTAATAGTCCATTATTTGCTTAAAAAATTTGCTCCGGACTATTAGTCCCACTAATATGGGATTATCTTATCCCATGGGGGGTGGGAGGTGGGATAGAAACCATGGATTAGACAATGAAATTATATTTTTGCCCTCTAGTATTTAATTATGTATTATATTTAGTAAAATTCAAAAAAATTTAAATGTCTCAATTTAAAAATAAAATAATTTTATTTGATTTTTATTTTTGTTTTATTTATTTAATTTTTTAAAATATTTTTTTTATAGATATTTTATTGATGTTTTATTTTAAAATTTTGTTTATATTTTATTTAATTTCATTATTTAAATTTTAATAGATGTTTTATTTTATTTCATTATTTAATTATTATTATTTAAAATAAATTTATTTAAAATTTTAATTAAAAAATAACATTTATTTTTATTTTTATTTAATTTATTTAATATTTTTAAAATAAATTTATTTAATTGTGCAAAAAATAAAATAAAATAAATTTTTATTTAATCTAGCTAAAAATAATTAAAATATTAAAGCTATGTTTAATATTGCTATTACTTAGTAAATAATTGAAAAGGATAAAATAGTCATTTGAGCATTTATCCTTTTTCATAATATTCCAAACAAACATTGGATTCACTAAAAATAGTTCAATCCAAACATTTAATCCCATCACTAAACAAACATAAGATACAAATCTAGTCTAACCAAATAGTCCGGGAACAATATATCCCAAGACTAATAATCTGATGGATTACAATCCCTCCTTATCCAGTCCGTCCAAACAAACACACTCTTAATAAACTAATCGTGGTAGTTTTTCATGTTTAATCTCCATGATTATTTTTTTGGTTTTTGTTTTGTTTTGTTTTGTTTTTTTCTTTTTTTTTGGTTTTTTTAGAAGGTAATCTCCATGGTTGTTGATTTTGTATATTTGTTTAAGAAATTTTAACCTTAAGACAGCTACGGCTATGTTTGGAAGAAATTTGTGGTGCACAAAGAAAGAGGTCCGTCCTTAAAATTTCTAATTCAAACACAATTTAAATTAAAAAAAAAATCATAATAACAAATATCTTATTTCGTTTTTTATTGTCTAAAATATTAATCCCATTTCAAAAATTAATGGCTAAAATAATATAAATTTCTCATTTTATCCTTTTAAATTCATACCCCCAAAAAAAATATATAATTATGACAATTAATATTCCCAAAAAAGTCAAAGGGTAGTTTTGGAAAGTTAGTATTTTTTTAAGTGTGATAATTATGAGTGCTGCTATATCAGTGTGTTTAGTTTCAATTTTTTGAAAATTGATTTTTTTATTTTTTGTGTTTTTTTGTTTTTAGTGAATATTTTTAAAATTTTAAACATTTTTTTATTTTTTTAGATGCACCTTACTTAGATGTATTTAAAAAGTAAAACATTTGTGAAAAAATATTTTAAAAAATTAATAAATACACAAAAAAACAGAGAAAAATATATTGAATTTTTATATTTTTTTGTATTTTTGGTATTTAGTAAATTTTTTAAAGATTTTTTAACAAAAATTATACTTTTTAAGTGTATTTATGTTAGGTGTATCTAAAAATAAAAAAAAAATGCTTAAAATATTAAAAAAATACAAATAATAAAAAATACGAATAATATAGTACTGATAGCAATACTCATAAGCCTGTGTTTGACAAGGGCTTTTTCAGGCTTTTTTGGCTATTTTAGCCACAAAAAAACAAAATAGGCTATTTTAGCCATAACAAACAAAACATCACATCCAACCTATAATCATTACATTCTTCTCTCACAAAAAAAGTCAAAAAAGCCAAAAAACCAAAAAGCCCTTCCCAAACCAAGCTTTTTAGCCCAGGCTAAAATAGCCAAAAAAGCCAAAAAGCCAAAAAGCCAACCCACTTCCCAAACGGAGGCTAAATATACTATAAAAAAAATTAATTTTTTTAAAAAGAAGTAATATTTGAGAACAGAAGGAATATTTAAAGTTGTTTCAAAATTTTTGTCAGGGGGAAATTGAAAACAACAATGATATGTGGCCCGAAAAATCATAACTTGAAACACTTAAAACGACATCATTTTGGATATAAAACGACATCATTTTGATACATTCAATATATTCGAGCCACAAAAATTTAAGTCACCAAACATTTTGCAATTGAAAAATAATCAAAAGTCTACCAAGACAAAGGCCCCGTTTGGTAGAGCTGTGGGAAAGTGATTATAATTTATAGTCTAACAGCTTATAACTTATAACTGTGAACATAAACTGATTTTTTATTTATAAATTAAGTTTCTTCTCTCCCCCACTTAAAAAATAAGTTAATTTTTGACTTACAAAAAGTTATAAGCTGTATTGTTAAACTGAACATAATACATCAAAATAGTTTAAATTAAACTAAAAAATAAAATAAATTGAAAATAAACCCTACCAAACAAGACCAAAGTGTCATTCATTACGTAGTGTTTTTATTATAACAAATAAGAAGATGTTTCACTGATTGCATGTTTGCAAGAATAAATAAAGTTACCACAACCTCATGGGAGGTTATACAACTTTGCATTAGTTTGGGGGGTGGGTTGCGCTTTTGGTTTTTTTGACTATTTTAGTATGGGGTTAAAAAGTCTCGTTTAGGAATGATTTTTTTGATTTTTTTTTTTACTTTTTGTAAGAGACAAAATATAATAATTATAAATTAAATGTGATATTTTATCTTTTATGACTATTTTAGCTCAAACTTTGCTTCCCAAACGGAATGAAGCAAGATTGGAGTGGTGGAGCTATGAGGTCACTTGCCAATTCACTTTTTCATAGAAAAAAAATCACATGAGTGTATAATTAAAGAAATATCTTCAATCAGTTTATTCATTATAAATATTAATATATATATATATATATATAAATATAAAAAAATATAATTTTATAATTAATTTTTAAAATCACCATTAACAAGATTGCACCGGTACGCATCGATACCTGCAACAGATGTTTACCCATTACAATTCCCCATAATAGCAATA